TTAAAATCCTTAAAATTTTTTTCTTTACAATATCCTCTGCCTTATTAAGACCTTAACTAATATTCTTTACAAAATCCGCGTCTTAAAAATTCACGCCTTTTTGCCCTTGAAAAAATAGGCTTTTAAATTGACACACTTGTGACAGTCCTAGCAAAAATATTATTTAAAACATCCACACTTGATTGAGTCCTTAAAAAATATTTTTTTAAAAAAATCTGTGCCTTGTTCGTCCTTGAATGAGACGTTCGTCCCTAATAAGACTTTAGTTTAATTCACCCTTTGTTTAACCCTCTAAAAATATTATTTGAGAAATCCCTTTAGGTTTAGACCTTGAAAGATATTCTATACAAAAATCCGTCTAAACCTCGATAAAAATATTTGTTTAAACTCCAAGCCTTGTTGAGCCTTGAACCCTCTAAAAATATTATTTGAGAAATCCCTCCATGTTTAGACCTTGAAAAGATATTCTATACAAAAATCCGTCTATTTTTAAACATCGAAAAAAATATTTTTTTTACCCCGAGCCTTATTGAGCCCTTGAAAAATTTTTTGTATTGGCAATCTTAACATTTTCATTTTAATTATTCGAAACAATAATTGCCTATCAGCCTTGATTTTTTTTAATAATTCTTGAAAATTCAGGCGCTGGTACAGTGAATATTTTTTATTAGAATTAAAAAATTCTTTAAATTTAAATATTTATTGTCCCTCAAATATAGATTTTCTATAAAATAAATTATTTACTTTGTAACTTTCTCACAATATGCCTCCGTATAAATATTTCCTATCACCTCCCTTTAATTTATGACAATTTTCTTTTTTCTGCAACTGTGTAAACAAATGAAGAAAATCACAAATCTATGAATATGAATAAATCATTCAATTTATTTTACTTTAACTTATTACACCCTGTTCCCCAAGGGTGTTAGTGATTTTTTCTACCCCCACCCCCTCCCTTCTTATTTATATTATTGTTTTCTTTTTTTCTTGCTTACCTTTTTTTCTAGCACCACAAGTGGCAATATACATTGTGACTTTCATACTTTCATTTCGAATATGCTTTGTTTTGTTGTTAGATTGGCTGTATAAAATGACATTCATACGACGTTGTTGTTGTTGCTGACGTCGGCGTCGCCGCAACCATCGTCTTCGTCGTGTGGCATTTTTGTTGTTGCTAACAATTGTTGCGCACACCGCATTGCTACACACCATAGTTTTGTTGTTGTTTCATTCAACACAACAATTGTGTAGTCTCTGTGTGCGTGTGGGTCCTCATATGTGTGAGGGAATTTCTCCTTTCTTTGTTGCCATTTCTATTCTTCTTCCTGGCAAAATAATAAACGCTAATATTATTGTAAGTGTGTGTACAAATATTTATTTATATATGTATACAATTCCTTTTTACGTTTTGACTTTCAATAGAAGAGGATTGTTGGTGTTGTTGCTGCTTCTTCTATTTCCTATGTGAAGGTTGGGGGGTTCCCTATTTTTAACATTCATAGATGTTGTTTTCTTTTCGCATTTATTTTGGTGGGGAGATAGGAATATTTTTCTGTGAGTCTGTGTGTGTTTGAACCTCAGAGGTTTTGTTGGTTATACTTATGGCTACGTGTTGTGTTTTTTTTTTTTTTTTTTTTGCTTTTCGACTTCACATGATGATGATGATATTGTTGATCCCCCTCACGCACGCACGCTTCCACAAATATCACGAGATTTCTGGATGACGTGAGCAAATGGATTTCAATTACATTTTTATAATCTAGGTATGAGTTCGAGTGTGTTTGTGTGTGTGCTAGCGTTTGTCTAGGAATTCAAGTGGTAAATACTCCACACAAATACCAACCAACCAACATACCCACCCAATCCATCCACACACTCCAACCACATGGCATCCTTATATCATCATTCCCATAGACTCAAAACCAAAAATCCATGGCCACCACCACATCAATGTATTATGCTAATATTCTATTTGGCCATGTGTGTGTGTGTGTTTGTACGTTTGTGGGAATTTGTTGCTTTACTCTGTTGCTTTGTGGTAGTAAATAAATAACCAATAATAGATAATCATGTTTAGGAAATATCAATATGTGCCGCAATATGTGTGAGTGTGTGTGATTGTGTGTTTGTCCGTATCTTAACCTATTTTATTTAGTTTAGGATGGCAAAAATGGAAATCAGATAATTTATTTAATAGTTATATGGATTTTTTTTTTTTTTGGTAATTTGCTTAAGGACAAACAAATCTGTTGGGGAATTTTTCTTTTTAGAGCAGGTGGTGGAAGGGAAAAAGGTTTTTGAATTTAAGAGATTATTTATTGATTATAGTTAATAGTTTGAAGGAAATTTTTTGTGAGAATATTACTTTAAGTTATGTTTTATAGACTTCATGATAAGAAGGAAAATTTGAAAAAATGAGGTAAAAACTAAAGTGATGTTATAATATTAGTCGTTCTTAAGAAAAACTTCTATTTATTAGCCGATTAACCAGTTAGACAGACCGACGGAATTCTTTAAATCGACTTCAAAGGTTTTGAAATGGATTTCATCAAAGGAAACATGGGATCATAGCTGAGGATATGAAAATTTATATAATGCCGCAGTATAGGGTCCTGGTTGAGGATATAGTGAGAGGCTAATTCAATACACGATAGTACTCAGGAGCCTAAAAAAAAATAGAAAAAATTAAAATAAAAGACATGATGCGCTGGTGTGGACTTAAAAAACAAATCCATAGTCTTTGAAAAAGCATTTGCAAAAATTTTAATCTATTTTAATTGAAGTCCTCCTATAAGCCTTGAATTTTTTCTTAAAAATCCATCCCAATTTTGGGCACTTGAAAAATAATTTATAAAAAATCATGACCCCTGAACGTATACCCTTGAAAAAAATATTTTTAATATATATATTCAATGTTTTCATCTCTTTTTTATACCCTCCACCATAGTATGGAGGGTATATTAATTTTGTCATTCCGTTTGTAACACATCGAAATATTCATTTCCGACCCTATAAAGTATATATATTCTTGATCAGGGTAAAATTCTAAGACAATCTAGCCATGTCCGTCCGTCTGTTGTAATCACGCTATCTTCTGAAGGAATTGATATTGTCTGCAGGCAGGTCAAGTTAAAAGATGGGATATATCGGTCCTCGTTTAGGCATAGCTCCCATATAACGGTACCCCCCAATTTTCGGTATTTTGGGGTTCTTGACCGTGTTTTTCAACCGAAATGAAATTTGGTACGTTGGGTTCTTATTGCGTACTAAATGTCTCCACAAAAAATTATGAGTATAGGTCCACTTTTTCTGGTAGCCCCCATATAGCGGCAGCTCCTAATTTTTACACCGAATTGGCTGTAATTTAGTATTTTGAGTTCTTAATAGGTACCAAATTTCTCCACATATAACCCCCTTTTTTATATTAAAATAGTTATCTAATTTGTTCCGCGTTTTGGGTTTGGTTCTAAGAGTCTGTCGTAATCATTTAACCTGCGGAGGATATTGAGATAAAGCTAGAACGTAAGGTTCGATGATGAACTATGCATGAACTATAACCTGCATTTAGGCCTAGCCCCTGTGTGGGAGGTATCAGAAGGAGTGGACCGATAGTCCACATCTTCGAACCTGAACTAAGTTTGGAAGAAATAATAAGATAGGCACAGGTTGGATGAAATCAAAATTGTCTGGAACATGGTTCACATTATGGTTTACATAATCGCGTTGGAGAAATAGGTCCGGTATAGGTCCACTTTTTGGTATTTTCCCTACATTTTCATTTCAAGTACCTGTCAGTATATCTATGGTGGAAGGTATCCAAAGTTCGGCCCGGCCAAACTTAACGCTTTTTCACTTGTTATTGTTAAAATGATTATATTTTCTTTCCAATGTACATATGTATGTGTGATATGTCATAACTTCCTCACACATCCTCAACTTTGGGGTTGTTTATTTTTTTCGTTTCCTATTTTCTATGAAATATTTCTGAAATTCCTAAGAGATTTAATGTCATAGTTAAGTTAGTGGTTTCGAAGCTATTGACTAATGTTAAAAGCTATGCTTCTCCAGAAAAACCGGAAATGTCACATCATCTGTCCAGGTTGCCAGGTTGTATTGAAAACCCCCTTTTGCAACAAATTTGTAGCAATGTTTGCTCAACAAAAATTGGAGGTATGAGGCTAGGGAATCAACAAAACAAACCGTGGAATATGCTTTTCGAAATGAAAATATCCTTTTGGGATTTTTTTTTTTTTTTGAAACGATGAAAATATAAAAATATGCATTTTTAGTTTCAATATCAAATATTATATCTCCATTATCATAATCGTTGTCGAAATCATCAAAAATTCCGAAAAAAAAAAATATTTTTTATTGTTAAAAAAAAACTATGACAACAATAAAAGCTTTTAAGTGGAAGTTTGCCAAATGACATAAAGTTTTGCTTTAACTTTCAATTTGATGTACATGGCATTTCAACAACCGAAAAAAAAAATATTTTTTTTCTCCGAAAAAAATATCCTTCTTAAAATTTATAAAAAAAACACGAAATATAAGGATAAAACAGATAATCCCTGAACATTAAAAAAAAGAACTGACAAAAAAAGAAGAAAAACGACAAGCGAAACAACGGCATAAATGAACGAATGAAATTTGTGGAAAAACGTTGTTCAAAACTCCAAAATGACGATGATGATGATGAGGAGTACAACAAACGATATGATGACGACGAAGAATAAAAATGCAGTTGTATATAAAAATAAGTAGGGAAAACAAAAACAACAAAAACTTAGTTATTTATGCAAAGAGTATTAAATAAACCACAAGCAGTAGCGGCAAACTTAATACACACTTAAGTTTTTCGGATGGGGAGGGGAAGAATAATGGAAGGGCAGCAAGTCTAGCTGAGGGTGTCAGTGTGTGTGTGTGTGGTTGCAGTGAAACAATAATGCCACTACTCAGTTTCTTTTAAGAGTACTTCTGCCATTATCCCATCAACAGATATGAAATACAGCAACCACAATAACAGCAACAATGGTGAAAATACAAAGGAAAACGAAGAAGCAATAGCCAAAGCAACAAGGACATGTTTGCCGGTGCTGCTGCTGCAACACATTTTCCACTGGCATCCATTGCGGGCGCCAAACCGCCACCATCAACAAATTGATGGAATTGTTACCCCCAACAACAACAAAAACTATATTTGTATTCTTTACAATATCAACAAAGCCAAAGAAGAAGAAGCCAGTCAACCATTCTGTCGGGGCTCGCTTTGCTTCTGAAGGTAACAACCAACAACCCGCCTGCATAAAAAACAATGACAAGTGGATGCTTTTATTTAAAGTTTCATAAATGTGATTGTTTTATGCTTTTGTGTTTGTTTACCACCACCATGAACCAGAAAGACGAAGAAGCAGCACCGTGTCGACCAAGTGACAGGAATAATAGAAAACAAAGAAGCGACAGCTACAACAACAACACACAGAGCAACAAGTTGGGTTTTGATAATAAAATAGAAACAAAAAAGTTTTGTTGTTTATTTTTTTCAACTAAAAGAAAATATTTATTTTCATTAAATATAAAAAAAGTAAATTTGTTTGGGAATAGTGTCAAAATATGATGAGGAACATGGACAAAATCCTGACTGTTTACTATGGTGGAGGATTTGTTTATAAAAATAAAAAATACTAACTAGCATATGCCCGCAACTTCGTTAGCGAATGTAGGAAATATTTAAACCTGTATTAACATATTATTTTATTTTCAAAGCAAACTGCATATGTCAAAAAAACAATCCACACATTAATATCGACCATACATTAAGTTTGAGTACCATTTAGTACCAAATTTCATTATTCGAGCTCTAAAGGTCCACCCAAATCCAAATTTTTCATTTAGCACACATTATTTCCATAAAAAAAAAACTGCCTATAAACCCTAATCCTACACCCCCACAGTGATCCTAAATCCAAGTTTCAGGATTCCAACTCTAAGTACGAATTTCCAAAACATCCTACATACCCCAATCCTACACCCCGACAGTGCTTCTAAATCCAAGTTTCAGGATTTCAATTCCATAGGTTCACCCACAATTCAATGTGTACCAAATTTTGTACACAGTAGTACCAATTACAAAACTTCGTATATAGTACGAATTTCCAAAACTTTCTACATGCCCCAACCCTACACGCCGACAGTGATTCTAAATCCATGTTTCAGGATTCCAACTCCATATGTTCACCCACAATTTAAATTGTACCAAATTTGTAAATCCAAGTTTCAGGATTTCAGCTCCATAGGATCACGCACAATTCAATGTGTACCAAATTTTGTACATAGTAGTACCGATTACAAAACTTCCTATATACACCAATTCTATACCCCCACAGTGATCCTAAATCCAAGTTTCAGGATTTCAACTCCATAGGTTCACCCACAATTCAAATTGCACCAAATTTCGTACACAGTAGTTCTTATTTCCAAAAACTCCTTCCTACCCCAAACCTACACTCCCACAGTAATCCTAAATCCAAGTTTCAGAATTCCAAATCTTATGCTTCACCCATAATTTAATTGTAGCAATTTTTAGTACACAGTAGTACGAATTTCCAAAACTTCCTACATACCCCAACCTTACACTCCGACAGTGATTCTAAATACATGTTTCAGGATTCCAACTCCATAGGTTCACCCACAATTCAAATTGTACCAAACCTCCATCCTACCCCAAACCTGCACTCCCACAGTCATGCTAAACCCAAGTTTCAGGATTCCAACTCTATCGTTGCACCCGCAATTTAAATTGTACCAAATTTAGTACATAGTTGTACCAATTTCCAAAACTTCCTACATACCCCAATCTACACCCCCACAGTCATCCTATATCCAAGTTTTAGGATTCCAACTTTATCGGTTCTCCCACAATTCAAATTGTACCAAATTTAGTACGTAGTTGTACCAATTTCCAAAACTTCCTACATATTTTAATCTTACACCTCCACAGTGATCCTGACTCCAAATTTTATGATTCTAGCTCTATTGGTTCACCTAAAATCCAAATTGTACCAAATTTAGTACCATTGAATACCCATAAGTAGTAATTTCTTAAACTGAATACTGACCCTAATCCTACATCCCTACAATGATCCTTACTCCAAAATTTGTTGTTCCAGCTCTATCGGTTCACCCAAATCCAAATTGTACTAATTATAGTACGATTTAGAACTTTTCGTACACATAAGTAAAAAGTTTCCAAAATTACGTACATATCCAAATCCTGCACTCCGACGGTAATGTTACTTTCAATTTTCAGGATTCCAGATCGATTTATACCTCCAAATCAAATTTGAGTACACGTTTTCCAAACTTTCAAGATTCTAACTACAGCCGTTTCGTCTGGGCGTAGATGAATCGTTAAATCAGTCAACCAGTTTCCAGGTTTCCCCCAAATCTTAAACTTTCCGAAAAATTCTCAATTTGTTTCACCTTACCTTTCATTCCACAAATCGCCATCTTTAAGCATTGCAAATATAATTGAATCCCAAGATGAAATCATCCATTTTTATTGTATTACGCGTTCGGCGTTCTATTTCGCCAAACACACACACTCTCACACACACCCATATAAAATAACTGATCGGACGTATTGAGTTTGTGGCCAAACAATTTGCCAGGTTCGAACAGCAACACAAACACACATAAAATATATGGTGGAACGAAATGAATCCTTACGGATGCATTTATAGTCCACCATCGAAGAAGAAGAACAAAAACATGATACAAAAAATATGAGAAAAAAATGCCAAGACAGGTAAATATTGTTAGCATCTTTTCGCCGACGACACACAACAGAATCTCATGGAACGATGTCAATGTTTTTGTTGTTTTTGTTCTTGTCATCTCTTTTGCAATTCTAATCAATTTTTATTATTGCTTCAGAGTACAACACAAAGAACAACATTTCACGAAAAGTTAAATCTATGTGGAGGTTCTCCAGTAGAGCATTTGCCGAACTGTCTGTTAGTCGCTGTGTGTGTGTTTTAGCAAGGTTTAGTGATTTTTTTTTACATAAACACATCACGTCCTTTGCTCGCTCACTGACACTTTTTCTATCTCTCTGAATTGCTACGATGATGACGATGTGTGTGTGTGTGGGCGATTCACCACACTCAAGAAAGGACTTTGTGGCCTTTATCACACATTGACTTGGCTGAATGCCGCCTGGCTTGGCTTGCCCTGTCTGTCTGTATGTCAGTCTTCCTGTGTTCTTCTAGTGTTTATTTATTTTTCGTGGTTGCTTGGGCGCCATCCATGTCTCTGTGCGTAAAACGGGAATCACACGCTTGGGTAATATGTTCGTCATGCGTTCACTTTGTCATAGCATGAATTCTAGATGTGTGTCACTGTGTGTGTGTGTGCGTTTGTGTCATGGAATGTTTACCTAACACTGATGGTGGTACGTGGTTTCACTGTCTGTCTGTCAAGTTTACCTTAAAGTTAAACAGTTTGTGACACCATTTTTCCTCGAAAATGTTGCGTGGCCCAAATTGTCACCTGTGAAAAATCAACAATGCAGGGGGGAATAACTTAACTTCCGTTTTCCATTAAATTGTTTTCCGATCAAGGGCCATGATTTTTGAGCTATGTCTTATTTATTGGCTTCCTACCCTGTTTGTCTGTCTGTACCTACCTCATGATGATTGTTTTCCTAGATAAGAAGATACCAGCATTCCTTTAAATCAATATTGAGGTGTGATTGATTTGTTTCCTTTTCATGTTGTGGGTGAGTGGGTGTGTGTATATGCCTGTCTCTGTACCATGCTGAGATTATGGAATTCCTGGCAAAGGGAATGTCTCAGAATTTTAGGATTTTTTTCTTTTTGCGGCGAAAAAAATAAAACTTGGGTGCAAAGACAAAGAAAACTTTTTGCACCCTGAGAACAAGTGACGCAGCCAGGACCCTTATAATCCTTAAAAGAAACTTTCTTTGACTTGACCACACAAAACAAATAAAAAGTTTTTTTGTTCTATCCCTTTTTTATTTTTTTAAGGTATGGGAGTTCTATTCCTGATTTTGGTTTTTAATTCCCTTTGCAAAAAATTGTTCGGAAAAAATAAGTCTAGGAAAATTGGGAAATCTCTGGGAAAAGTAGATTAAGCTTTTAAGTAAACATTACAAGGAAATGGTTTTTGCGAAAAGCAACAAAAATAACAACAACAAAAAAAAAGAAAACATGAATTGGCGATCAAAAAGTTCCACCAAAAAAATAAAACATCGAAATATAAATTGGAACCTTGTGGAACATTGAAAAAATATTCTTAAAATAATACACGCCTATTGTGGAACCTTAAAAAAATATTCTTAAAATAATCCACGCCTATTGTGGAACCTTAAAAAATGTTCTAAAAATAATCAAATATTCTTAAAATAATCCACGCCTATTGTGGAACCTTAAAAAAATATTCTTAAAATAATCCACGCCTATTGTGGAACCTTAAAAAATGTTCTAAAAATAATCCACGCTTTTTGTGGAACCTTGAAAAAATATTCTTAAAATAATCCAGGTTTTGCTGGGCCAAGAAAAAATATTCTTAAAATAATCCAGGTTTTGCTGGGCCAAGAAAAAATATTCTTAAAATAATCCAGGTTTTGCTGGGCCAAGAAAAAATATTCTTAAAATAATCCACGCCTATTGTGGAACCTTGAAAAAATCTTCTTAAAATAATCCACGCCTATTGTGGAACCTTGAAAAAATCTTCTTAAAATAATCCACGCCTATTGTGGAACCTTGAAAAAATCTTCTTAAAATAATCCACGCCTATTGTGGAACCTTGAAAAAACTTCTTAAAATAATCCACGCCTATTGTGGAACCTTGAAAAAACTTCTTAAAATAATCCACGCCTATTGTGGAACCTTGAAAAAATCTTCTTAAAATAATCCACGCCTATTGTGGAACCTTGAAAAAATCTTCTTAAAATAATCCACGCCTATTGTGGAACCTTGAAAAAATCTTCTTAAAATAATCCACGCCTATTGTGGAACCTTGAAAAATATTCTTAAAATAATCCACGCCTATTGTGGAACCTTGAAAAATATTCTTAAAATAATCCACGCCTATTGTGGAACCTTGAAAAAATCTTCTTAAAATAATCCACGCCTATTGTGGAACCTTGAAAAAATCTTCTTCAAATAATCTACGCCTATTGTGGAACCTTGAAAAAATCTTCTTAAAATAATCCACGCCTATTGTGGAACCTTGAAAAAATCGCTCCTCCGTATAAAAAATTAATTCGAAATCTTAACCTAGTTTTTTGTAATATTTTTAACTAATTTTTGTTATTTTGAATTTTTCTTTGCAGGGTGCTTTGGTACCATGTGAATATCGCATACAGTCACCGGCCTCCGGTTCTCCATTGCCCTTGTGCGCTGCTGCCAATGCAAATAGTGGCACCAATGCCGCCGACAGCACTGCCGTTGCAGTCCTGCAGAACAATACAAATGCTGTGAATTCGTTAACGGGCGGCAATGCCAATTCTGCTGGCGGCCCCAATACGGTGTTGCGTGTCATTGTCGAATCTCAATTGTACCCCGTTTCGTTGGATATTTTACATCAGATATTCCAACGTTTTGGCAAGGTTTTGAAAATTGTCACCTTTACGAAGAACAATACATTCCAGGTGAGTTGGGTGAAAAAATACGAAGTTTTATGAAGAAATAAATACCTAAGAAGAAGGAGGATAATTTATAAGATCCCAAAAATGAGGTCCTTGCAGCGGATTTAATATTCGTGAAAGAAATTTTTAATTTTAAATCTCAATTATTGGGACTTAGCACCGCTGATATAAAATTCCAAAACTTAGGAGACAAAATCCTTCTAAAAGTTTTCAAACCCCTCTTCTAAATTTCTTAGAACTTTTGGAGCCTTACAACCTTTATGCTGCTTACTTCTTTTATCAAATTTCATCGTTATTTTTTCTATTTCATATTTTTTTCTACAGGCCCTCATACAATATCCGGATGCACATTCGGCCCAGCATGCCAAAACCATCTTGGATGGGCAAAATATCTACAATGGCTGTTGTACGCTGCGCATTGACAACAGTAAAATGACAACGCTCAATGTGAAATATAACAATGATAAGTCACGCGATTTTACAAATCCCTCATTGCCACCTGGCGAACCTGGCGCCGATATTATGCCCACCGCTGGCGGTTTAGTGAATGCAAATGATTTGCTATTGATAGCGGCCCGTCAACGGCCCTCTCTAACAGGTGATAAAATAGGTAACACTTAAACTTTCCTTTTCATTTTGTTTCCTGTTTTTATTATTTTTTTTTTTTCGTTTTTTGTTTTGTTTCCGAATCTACTTTTAGTTCTTGATACTGTTTTGAAGCTTGTAATTAATAAACAAATTCATTTTTTCATATATTTTTTGCCACCATTTTAACCATTTAAAAATATTTATTTACTAACCCCCAAAACATAACAACATGCATCTTGTTACCAAAATCAAAACTACATAAATTTTGGATGCTAACAATATATTTATACAAAATAATATAATAATAGTAAAAAATAGTAATTAGAGTAATGTCAATAACATGCTAATTTTTCGTAAAATAATAATATAATTATTTAAATATTTTTATTAATATTAAACAATTTTTTCCTTCTCTTTTTATTTTGCAATTTTCCTTCCATGATTCTGCAGTAAATGGTCTCGGTGCACCCGGTGTGTTGCCACCATTTGCTTTGGGCATCGGTACACCATTGGCCGGTGGCTATAGCAGCGGTATACCAAATCTAGGCGCATTTGCTCTTGCCAATAGTGGCGCCCTGCAAACAGCTGCTCCTGCATTGCGCGGTTTCTCCAATGTCTTACTTGTTTCAAATCTAAATGAGGAGGTTAGTAAAACAAAAATTATTTTTTTATTTTAAAAATATATATAAAACTATTTTTTTAATTTATCAAAATAGTATATTTTGATATTTTTGTAGCAATGTATTTTTTTTGGTTTTAAAACATAATTAAAATATGACATATATACTTTTATATTAAACATGTATTTTTTTAGAAAATATTTAGTTCATATATACACTTTTCGAAATAAGTCTGCGTATAATTAGAATATACAGTATCCAGTAAATATTTTATAATTTCAGAATTTAAAGAACTAGATTTATACATTAATCTCAAATATTTCTCCACTTTCGATCTCCCAGAATTATTCATACAAAATGCATTAGTAATGCTGTAAATTCTTCTCTTGGAAGCAATTAATCTCTTTATGATTAGGCTGCCATCTATCGTTGCCTAGAAACAATGCATGCTTGCTTTTTGACTTGGTTGAAGTCCTTACTTCTGTTGGTGTTGCAATTTTCCCTCCAGTTGACACAATCTCCTGCCATTTCCTACTCATCATTCCGAATTTTATTTGACCTTCGAATTTTATAAAAACATCCATACATAACTCCCTAAATATATTGTTATAAAATCCATTAGAAGTCCACCAAAGACAGGTCTTCGAATTCAAAATTCGCATGTCTTTAAATTGTTTATTCTTCTTAAAACATCGTAATCTTACTCGTTGCTTACTTCATGGTTTTTGTTCAACCTTAGTAATTTATTGGTCTGCTGTAGCCTTTCCTAGGTTATAAGGCTGCCATCTATCGTTGCCTAGAAACAACGCATCCTTGCATTTTGACTTGGTTGAAGTCCTTGCTTCTGTTGCCCTTGCAATTTTCCCTCTAGTTGACAAAATCTCCTGCCATTTCCTACTCATCATTCCGAATTTTATTTGACGTTCAAATTTTATAAAAACATCCATACATAACTCCCTAAATATATTCTTATAGTCCACCAAAGGCAAGTCTTCGAATTCAAAATCAGCATGTCTTTAAATTGTTGATTCTTCTTAAAACATCGTAATCTTACTCGTTACTTACTTCATGGTTTTTGTTCAACCTTAGTAATTTATTGGTCTGCTGTAGCCGTTCCTAGGTTATAAGGCTGCCATCTATCGTTGCCTAGAAACAACGATCCTTGAATTTTTGTCATGGTTTGAGTCCTTGCTTCTTCTAGTGCCGCAATTTTCCCACTGGGTGACGCTATCTCCTGCCAATGCCTACTGATTATCATTTTGTATGCTATTTGGCCTTCAAAATAAATTAAAATAAATATGTATTAGGATTTGTCCTTTATGAAATTATGCTGTAATCATTCCTAGCTGATAAGGATGCCATCTACCGTTGCATAGAGACAACGTCATCTTGAATTTATTTTATCATGGTTGGAGTTTTCTTTTCTATTGCTTTTGCCATTTAGCACATGGTGGCGCTATCTAATGCTAATTCCTACTGATTATCATTGCGAATTCTACTTGGCCTTCAAAATAACTAAGAAATAAAACCCCGCTTAAGGGGACCCCCCCATTCTCGGGGTCAAAATTTTTTTTTCATTTAATTCGAATCTACACTAAATCAAGAATGTCCCTACAAAATTTCAAGTGAAAATCTCAAGAACTCTTGAAGATATAGCCGATTTATTCTGCCAGCATCAAGTGACGGCTAAAGGGCTTCTCAAACTTTAAACGCGTTTTTCTCTTTTGCGAATGGCGGGCACGATAACTCAAAAACTAATAACCCAATCGATTCCAAATTTTTACACGTTTTTCTGTGAGTGTATAGCTATCGTATGAACAAGGATAAAGCCAATCGGTGAAGATCTTCCTTATTTTTTAACTTGGTTTTTGTTCAAAAATCGACAATTTTCCAAAAATATGTTTTCAAAGGCCCGCCAATTTCTTAATTTTAGAGCGAAGTCAATAATTCTAGTTCATACGAGAACCAGACATGTACGCTTTCTAACACAGTTGGAATTTTCGGATTCCGATGTTCCAGTGAGGAGTTATCATGCCCGCCATCGAAAATAAGGACTTTTCTTTAATTACAAAAAAACAACAACAAAACAATAACAAAAATTTTTTGTAAGTTATTTTTCTTCTCTTTTAAATCTGCAAATATATATGTGCAAAGTTACAAACCTTAACAAGCATTGGTATTGATTTACCAGCCCATTGAAAATCTTGAAAAATTAAAATCGAGAATGGGTGGGGTTCCCTTAAGTGCAGTATTATTCCTTCAAATTGTTCTCTTGGAAGTAATAAGACTTCCACAAAGCACCACCCTTACTCATTAAACACTTTAATTTTTTATTCCACCTGAGTAAATTTTCGGTCCATTGTAGCCTCTCCTAGATGATAAGGCTGCTAGAAACAACATTTCCTTGAGTTTGTACATGGTTGGAGTCCTTGCTTTTTTTAGTGTTGCACATTTTCCCTCTGGGTGGCGCTATCACCTGCCAATTCCTACTCATTAAAATTTGTTGTTTGGCCTTCGAACTAATTTATAAGTCTGCTGTAGTCTTCCCCGGGTGATGAGACTGCCATCTATGGTTGCCTAGAAACAACACAACCTTGAATTTGTTGTCATGATTGGAGTCCTTGCTTATTTCATTTTTTTCACCTTGTGGCGTTATTTTCTGCCAATTACTAGTCTTAATTTAAAATATATTCCACGATTAGTCCTATATGAAAATCCCATTTGTCCACCTATGTAGGTGGTGCAGCATTCTATTGGTGATGAAGCTGCCATCTATCGTAGCCTAAAAACAACGCTTCCTAGAATTGTTTGGAGCCCTTGCGTTTATGGTGCCATTTAACACATGGTGGCGCTATCTCCTGCTAATTCCTACTGATTATTATTTCGAATTTTATTTGGCCATTTGGACTTCAAAATAATTTAAAAAAATGTTTATTGTCCCTTTAACGTATACATCCAAATTCAATTAGTAGTCCATTAAAGACAGGTCTTCAAAATCGAAAATGCTCGAATATTAAAATTACCCTCTCGTAGCAGTGATAGTCCTTCGAATAAATAGTCCCATTTCTAACTGTTATGGTCCTTGAAAACTATTTTTAATGTTCCACCTTAATAATCTTAAGTGTAGCCCATAGAAACCCCACATACATTTGAAACGAGCTGCTAAAAGAGTTTAATAGGTCTGATAGTTTATTGCATATATGCTTTAGCAAACTGATTAATATTTGTAGTTTAAAAATTGATTTATAAAACCCACAGCACAGCCCTTAAAAAATATTTAAGATACTGAAAATGTATTGGCCATAGATATTCAGTCATTCCGTAACAAAACTATTTAACCAGCCGATATTTTCTGAAAAAATTCGCACAGTAACAGCTGAGTTCTTTACGAACCTATCCCACATTATGTTCTAAAGAAATATTGATTTCAAAATTTTTATTACTATATCCGATATTCGTTCAAAAAACATATTCACTTTTATATCCGATATTTCAAAATGTCTCCATAAAATGTTCACTCCAATGTCAATAGCTTTAAAAAGGTGGCAGTTTTATATCAATAGCTAGCCCAATGATACCATGTGTCGTATAAGAAGTGTCATTACTAATACGCCCTTATGAACCGAAATCATGTTACATAATAAAAACATTTAATCCAATAAACGATTTAACGAGACATTTCTAGCTTCGATATTCTCTTAAAAAAATCTCCAATTTATTTCCATAATATTGTGCCTTAAAATGATAATTTTATATCTTTAAACATTTTAATGAAAAATCTGTTATTTTTCTAAATGTTTCATATCAACAGTTACATTTTAAGTAAAAAAATCCAATGGAACCATGTTGCGTATAAGCAGTGTCAACACTCATACGCCCTTATAAATCCAAATCCTTTTACAAATTAACTACAAATATTTCATAAAATGTCCTCATTAATAAGAGAGATTTAAGAAAACATTTCTAGCGTGGGTATACTCCCAAAAATTTCTTTTACTCAAAATCTTCACCAATGACACCATCTGACGTATAAGTAGTGTCAACTCCCATACGCCCTTATGAACCAAATTCATTTTACTTATTTACCTCAAATATTTCATAAAAATCCAATATTGTAAGAATGATAATCCTTCCAAAATATATTATTTTATGATATTCCTTAGAAATTGTAGCAAAGATATTTTTACAAAATCTCAAAATGCCGAGATAAATTATCTGCACGAAAAAAAAACCTTTTTTGTTTTTAAAAACCATATAAATTTTTTTTATGATTAGTTTGTAGAGAGATATTCCGAATAATGCATTTAAAAATAACACGCCTTAGAAAAAATTAAGCTGCGATCGCCAATTAAAATTAACATAAATATACGCAGACTTATTTCATATAGTGTATAACCAACAAAATTTCCCTCATTTCAATATAAAAAACCCTATCAGTATTATTATAAAAATCCGTAACAAAAATAATTACTAGTTATATTTTTATGAACTACAAAATAACTCTGCAAACTTTTCACAGTAATAATATTTTATTAAAACAATAGGTAAAAATTTAAAATTTTTTACAAACAAAATATAATACTATTTGTTGAAACTGTTAATTACATACAAATTATTTACTATCGCGCATATTGATTTAAATTTCATAAAATATCATATCATATAAATTGTGTGTATGCATTTAAAAAAAAACTTTCATATTAATTTCACATTGTAAAATATTATTTTTCAATACATTCGAATTTCATCATTATTTTGTTTCATTGCTTTTGGCCAAAAACTTTACCATCGTCCATCATATATTTCATATTTCATGCTATATTTATTTCTCACTATTTTTTTTTTGGTTTTTTTCTCTGAGTTTTCAGTAAACAGATTTATTCATGATGTCTTGTTTTTAATTTTGTTCCCAATTAACATTGCACACAATGTTAATAAAAAGGTTTTTTTTATAGAAAATCATAATAAAATAAGGGATTAATTAAAATTTATATTAGTAATATTTCACAATTTCTAGATCAATT